AGGTTTTATCAACAAGGCTAGAGAATACAAAAACAAGGAAGCTACACTAAATGGCTACAGGATCATAGTTCTTCCTCAATTGGAAGGAAGAACATGAAGGCTTTAGACAGACAGCAGAAAAGACTTTAGGAAAGGACCCAAGGATGAGGAACTTCAGTTATTACATGAAGAGGTTGTGTCTCTTTTCCTAGTAGAAGAGAAGGTTGCGAAGAGATTTGATGGAGACATTCAAAACCATAAGGGCTCTGGTCAGAGTAGTGTGGGAATAAAAACTGCTCACATTATAGGAAGGATCAAGAACTAGGCGACAGATTTAAGTTAACTGACAGAGGAAACAAAGTCAACGTGCAACTTTTTCACATCGTAAGTGGTTAGGACCTAAAATGCACTGACAGAGTGCGGTGGAAGCAGGCTGAATTGAGGGATTCAAGGAGGAACTGGGTTATCTGAAAAGGAAGAATGTACAGGCCACTTGGAGAAGGCAGGTGAATGGCACTAGGTGAATTGCTGTTAAGGGCAGCTAGCAGAAATGACATGTTGAATAGCCTCCTTCTGTGCAATAAGTGATTCTAACGTGATTCTAAATACTTTATCGTCCTTTAGGACATCCAAAAGGTTGTGAAAGGTGTAATATGCAAGATAATACCATCAACAGATTAACTTCAGCATGTAAGCTCTCAATCTCCTATTTGTGGATTCAATTTTATGAGTTATGGTTGTACACATGGTGGTCAGAAAGATAATGGCAATGCACACAAATTTTACAATGTTATGTGGTTCAACTGTTAAACACCTAGTGAGGGCTCAAATATTCATTTGTCCCTGATCTGCAAGCTATCACATAGCCTCTTTGAGAGGAAGATGGAAAGGAATGGTTCCTGGTTTTTCTTTGAGATTAAGGTGGTTCTGAAAAGTTAAGTTTGACCATGGAAGTGTTGAACTAAGTGAATCGCCCGTGAGTGATCCCGTAATTTAGTAGGTGAGGTTGACAGGATATAGCCAGTCTAGCTCACTATGATTCTTCTTATTCAGTTTCAGATCACGCAATGTCTTGATAGGTAGGGTGATCCTGATTCTACAGGTTGCACATAACTACCAATACGGTCTTGAGTATCTGCTTAAATTCAATTAAACTTGGGCTGCTCTCAACTTGCACCCAAAAACATTACAAAATATTTACAGCACAGAAACATGTAACTTGGTCCAAAGCTTCATGCCCATTCACAAAAGTCTCCTTTATATTTCAACTAATCCCATCAACATACCCCACATTTCCTACATACTCCCTCCCTGTTTATCTAGCTTCCCCTTGTATGCATGTAATGTCGATACTCCCCCCACACACAGGGTGAAGAGCTGCCTTTTGAATTTTCTACTGAAATTATTAACCACCATCTACTGTCTATCTCTTCTAAGTAGAGTCATCATTGATATGGTAAATGCTTTCAAACCTTTATGCAATCTTAAGCAGCTCTATTTGATTACCACAGTGTCTTCCCTTTTCTAGAAAGACAAGCCTCTACCCATTCAATCTTGTTTGAAAGTTGTGACATTTCAATTCTGGTATCTTTCAAGTAAATCTTTCAACATCTTTAGCCTTGTTCTTATTGAATGATGGAAGAGGCTCAAGGGGATGAATGGGCTACCCCACCTCCCTAATCTGTCCTTCCTCCCACCTATCCCCTCCTCCCACCTCAAGCCCCACCACCATCTCCTACCTACTAGCCTCATCCCGCCCCCTCGACCTGTCCATCCTCCCTGGACTGACCTATCCCCTTCCTAACTCCCCACCTACACACCTTTACTGGCTCCATCCCCGCCTCTTTGACCTGTCTCCTCTCCACCTATCTACTCCTTTATCCATCTTCTATCCGCCTCTGCTCCTCTCCCGATTTATTTCAGAATCCCCTTCCCCTCCCCTATTTCTGAAGGAGGGTCTAGGCCCGAAACGTCAGCTTTCCTGCTCGGCCAACTGTGTTCATCCAGCTCTACACCTTGTTATCTGGGATGAATGGGCTACTCCTTTTCCATATACATCTTATACTAAATGTTCAGTCCTCCAAATGTGGTACAAAGAAGATTTTATACAAGTTTAACAAATTTTCTACTTTTCAATTCTGTTCCTCTACAAATGAACCAAATAATTTTGTTTAATTATTCTAATGGGCTAATTAATCTCAGACATCTCTTTTAGTGATGGGTGATAAGCCCAAATCCTTTCGTTCTTCTACTCATTGCTCACTTGTTTTCCAAGGTGTATACAGCTTCCCTAACCTTCCTACAAAAAGGCATTGCTTATTTGCCAGTTGCAGTCCCTTGCTCGGTTAATTAGATAGGCTTTAATCACTAAGGAGTCTATATCTCTGCCAAATCAAGCTCTATAGGTGCGGATTTTATTTGGTAGATTGGTAGATTTCATTGTGTGTCAGGTGCCTGGCTGGGAAAGTCCAAAGACAGCAGGATAAACAAAAGTTAGCTTACGCTATCAGCAATAACCCAGCAGCATTGAGCTACCTACCAAATGGCAGTGCAGATGAGAAAAATACATGGATTTAAAATAAAAGAAAGAAATGTTGGAAAAATAAAACAGCTTTAGACCACCATTGCATAAGAAAATATGAACCAACAGTACTGGCAAAAAGAGTTAATCAAGCACATGGTTGGATAAAGATTCAAATTTCTAAAACAATTAGCTTTGCATTTCTCAGATGCCAGCACACCCAAAGTGAAATTCTAGGATTTGGTTTAAAGGAGAATATACCGCATGCAATTGTCCCCAGCAGTAGCTCCCTAATATAGGGCAGCAACACTAATGACCTGTGCCTGCTCCTCTTCTGCGTTTGGCTACCAGTCTTATGAACCCAGTTAATGGTAATACTGGTCAAACACCAGAATGAAAAATAAAACTGATGGTCAATTTGAGGGGGTCAGTCACCGAACATATTCACAAAAATTTGCCAATACACTTTCAACAAGAGCATAAAGTTTATTACTAGCAAGGAGAAAGAAAACATCAATTTTATTACACTACACGAGTAGTTGAAACTCTCATTTAAAACCATCAGAAAAAAGTTTTAACCCTTTTACTTTCAAGAACAATCTTACAGATCTTAAACCTTCCTGAAGAGTCACCTTGTTAAAATTTAGTGACACAAGGAATTTTTTTTCTCTGGCCAACCTCTACATTCATTCAATGCTCTTCTTTAGTTATTGTCTCATCCTGACACCCTTAAGTTGCTAACATAGCTCATTTATTTCTAAATATGTTTTCCTTAAATTCCACTTCAGTTTCAGGATTTTTTTTCCTATTGATATTCAGCCACTCAGGACTACTTCTGACCCAACTGTTTGAGACTGCTAAACTGCACTGCTGATGTTACAGACTTTCTTCCTGCTGAATGATTTGCTTCTCTCAAAGAAACGTGCATGCTCCCTAACCTTCTGATTTATTTCAGAGAGATGGAAACACTCATTTCTGTCTGCCTGTGTCATAGGACACCTTGTTGCTAGGTAACAGGTCAGTTAGTTTTTATTCTACCCTTGCTTTTAAGGCAGTATACTATTCAACACAAGAATTTTAAAAGCCTCATTTAAACGCATGCAAACAAATTTCCAGACAATAGGTACAATTCTCAATTTTAGTTTAATTTTTGAGTTCCATGTCCTTCCCTTTTTAATCCACACAATACAGAAATACAAATCAAATTTTGAGGAAATAAACGGTGCTTTCCACTTTAGAACCCAATTTTTGAAACAAAATCATGGCCATTCATCACACCAGAAGTTAAAAATCAATTACGCTCCTTGTTGTCAAGGTTTCATGTGCACTTGTCTTCAAAAGAGATGAATTCTGCATCAGAAATCAACTCTACATTGCCATTGCACAGCCTATTTTCACAGGATACAAAATCACTTGGACTTTGGCCAGAATTTCCACTATAATTTTCCAGGCATTACTAGGAGCCAAAGATGCTCCACAATGCAGGTTTCACCAGACTGCCAGTACTTTACCACATTGCATTAGAGGCAAGTGCAAACATATACCTCAAGGAAAGCTCAACAGTTGCAAAAGAAGCTGCCTTTATCCCAGGACTTCCCAAAATGGGGAACAGAAATACAGGTAGGGTTGAGCCATAAGGATCACCATGGAGCTCTTCCCAAGTCGTAAAAGTTGTATTCCCACTAACAATCACCCTTCACCACTGGGGAATCCTGACAACTTTCATCCCTGAAACCATCAGACAGTGAGAAAAGTAGTTTAGAAATGCTGTCTTATCTGGTCCTATTGAATGGAGCGATATTGATACGTTGTTGGAGAATATTTGAATGAACATAAAGCAAAATAGAAATCCCACCCACACATTAAGCTCCCTAATCAACTCCGGTGGTAACCAGCAAGAAAAGAAAAAGAAAAATGCAATCACCAAGTTTTTAAAATGCATTTTTTTATTGCTTGATGCTATAACCACGAAGTAAAACTATAAATTTAAGAATTTTTGGGAGGCTGCAAGGACAGTGCACAATTCCATAAATAAAAAGTGTTTGACGATTCTTAATTCAATTCAATTATAAATCAGAGTGATTCTTCAGATTATAGATTGTGTGTGTCAATTCCAAATGGAGACAGGAAGAATGGAACGAAGCAATTCAAAATGAGCCTTATAAATGAGATACAAAAAAACTGATTATTTGGTTTAAATTTCACATTGAAAAATAGTTCTGTAATTTCAGTTCAAGTTCCTCCTATTAAGGCTGCTTTCTACTTGACATGAGACTCCATTAATATTGCATGGTGTACTCCTTTCTGGCACATGGCAAAACTCAACCAGTCACCTGCTCTATTTTTGGCAAAACAATTCAATTAGCTGAATCACAAGAAGTTACATCCATTAAGATCAGACCTTAATCTTAGGAGGTAACTTCAAAGTCAAAGTCCCTAATGAATCAATAACAAACGTGGCAATTTGTAACAGAATAGACTACTTTTGTTCAAGTATTACCTTGTGATTTTTGCTTGGAAATCAAGCACTTTCTTCATCTCCACAGTTAGGGATGGAGCACATTGTTCCTCCTTGTAACCTGGAGTGACTTTGACTCTTGGATTTCCTCTATTAAAAGAAGTCAGTTTGTTAAAATGACATGCAAGACCATAAGATGTAAGGACAGAAATTGGCTATTCAGCCCAAGAACCTGCTAACATCTGAAAACAAAGGACTTTAGGGCTGAAAGAAAATGTTTCTATCCATCTTTACACATCCTAAGAGTTCAATTAAATTAATTATTGCAATCATTCTTCTTGGGAGTTTCTCATGTTCAAATGCTCTAACCTCTTTAATGAGACGGTCAAGGACGAAACAACTGGATATAGCATAAGCAATGACAATTATACACCAGTCTGTCAAGACCAAAAAATAATTTCTCTTGAAAATAATGCACTGAATCTCTGGTGCAGACATCATTCAACATCAATTTGAGGTGTGCACTCAGATTGTTAACCAACTGAGGAAGATCTGCTTCAAGTACCAAAACCAGCTGTTACAAATTAACCTATGCAGCTTACTTAAACGGATCTTTGTGCCCAAGTTTAGAATTAATGTCAGATGATCAAAAAAGTTAGTAATTTAGTGGGCTTATCAACACCCATCAGGAAAAAAATTGTGAAAACTAACGTGCACCAGAATGGAAATATTTTCAAAAAATACATATAAATCAATGCTGGTTTCATGTGCAGTACCAACCCCATTTTACACATATTGGAGATCCCAGATTTATAAATGTTTCACTAACAAATGCTTGTACTTACAAATGCAATCCCATACATGCTTATAATTTTAAAGACTCAACAAACAAACATTTACGATACTTTCTACTGCCCTACATTATGATCTAACTTGCACAGAAACCAACTTGCGAATAGGCTCCAGAATGGAAACCGCTTAAAACTAGAGTGTCCGCACAGCCTAATAGTTCTGAAGAAGGGTGACCGGACCTAAAACGTTAGCTCTGATGTTTTCTTCACAGATGCCGCCAGACCTGCTGAGCTTTTCTGGCAACTTCTGCTTTTGTCATTGTAATAGTTCGAGGTCCCAGGTGAGGCTTCAAATGTTACAATCCACGTGGAAAAACAAAAACATGAAAAAAAAAGTGAACCTGCCCAAAGATATCACTTTTTGATATTTGTACTGAAACAAACCAGATCAAAATCAACTAAGGTTAAACAAGAGCAAACAGGCGAATTATACACAGCAAGATTCCACAAGCAGCAACATGACAATGACCAGAAAACCTGCTTACAATGTGAATTGCAAGATAAATATTAGACAAGACAGAGATAACTCAACTGCTCTTCGTCAGGTACAGCTGAAAGTGATTAGAAATGCTTCAGCCTGGTCTTTTGTATTGATGTACTAGGCTCATCCATTATTGAGAAAGGGGATATGCTGGAACCTCTATATCCTATTGCTTAAATTTCCACCACTATTCTTGATTGGATGGGGTTGGGCTGCAAGTTCTGATCTGATCAGTTGGCTGTGGGATTGTTTGGTGCTCCTTTCAGATGCAGGTAGTCCTTCACTTGAAATGTCTTTCTACTTCAAGATGACAATGCCTTTTGTCAACATTGGAAGAGACATTTTCAACAACTTTTCAGCTGTGAATCCGCAGTAGCAGCTAAAACTCTCCAGGCTATTCCCCACTATCTTGTGGTAGTATTGATGGGTGGACGAACACTGTGGGGAGAAGCCATCAAACAAATGATAACAACAACCTAGAGCAGTTATGGCATTCCGATGGAGATCTTCAAAGTTGGAGGACTTTTGTTCATATCAAGACTCCATATACTCATCTTGCAGCTTTGGGCATTCACTGACCTGATCAAAGCTTTTGATTCAGTAAATTGTGAAGCTCTGTGGATTGCTGTCTAGAGGTTTGAACATTCAAGAAATTCTATCACAATCTTGCAACTGCTTCATGATGGTAATGATTACAACTGTCTTAAGTGGAAGTTCTGAAACAGACATCTTCAGAATCTGGACTGTTGCCAAGAAAGGCTATTAGATAGCCATCCTCAAAACCTTTTAAAATCTACTCAACAACTGGTATTCACCTCAAATAGAAACATCCCTCCGGACTGAATATTAAATAGACTTTGGCAGAAAATTCTTTAGCCTCAGCTACCTCTGCACCAAAACTAAACTGACTACCATGTGGACAGCCGAAATTACACATTCTGTACCCGATTTGCCAGCCATGCTTGATCTCTTCAATTCTGCATAAGATAAACTCAGCCCATCCCTGAATGTTACAAAAATAAAACTCATTAATCCAAACCTGCTCAGTCAAATATTCCATTCCCCAAAAAGGATAGAATCTGGAATACACTGAGCATTTCCCAACATTGATAAATACTTCTCTCAAAAGGCCATCATTAATAAGATTTGACGTTGGTTCAGCTATGCTAGTGCTGCCTGCTACAAATTCAGAAGCAAGCGTTTGGTAAAAAAAACTTCCAAAAGTCAACTGAAGAAGTGGCAGTATACACTGCAGTAGTTGTCGCCACACTGCAATGAGTCTTAGAACTGTAAATCAATTTCACATAAGAATGGGAGAAATTCCATCAAAAATGCCTTTGCTGTGTTCTTTGGACTCAATGGAAGGACCAAACAAATCCTAGTTTCCTTCTCAAAGCGAGCTCTATATTCACACAAAACTCCTGCAAAAATCAACTACAACAGTGAATATTGTGTTTGCGTGGCTGAAAAACATCACCCCTGCCATGTCTCCATAAAACCATTAGAAACAGGAAAATGAATAGGTTGTTCAACCCTCAAGTCTGCTCTACCATTCAATAGGATCATGGCTGATCTGACATTCATCATGTCCATTTTTCAGACATTGCGCTATAACCCTCGATTCCCCTAATGATTAAGAATTTATCCATCTCAGCATTAAATACACATAAGGCCTCTGTCCCAATGCTCTCTGTGGTAAGGAGTTCCAAAGACTCTCAACACTCAAGGAGTTCCTCGACTCAGTTTTAAATTGGCACCCCTTTAATCTGATGCTATGCCCACTGGTCTTATACTTTCCTATGAAAATACACATCCTCTCAGTACTTACCCTGTCAGACCCCTTAAGAATCCTGTTTCAATGAGTTCACTTCATTCTTCTAAACTCCAGTGAGCAGACTCCCAACGATTGAGAGTTTGCTCATAAGACAACCTCTCCATTCCAGGAATCACCCATGTGAACCTTCTCTGAACTACCTCCAAGGAAATGTTAACTTCCCTTAAATAGGGGGACCAAAGCAGTTCAGTATTCCACAGTGGTCTCACCAAGACATTGTCTAGTTCTTCACTCATACTCTAACCCCCTTTAAATAAGGGCCAACATTTCATTTTCCTTCCTCATTACCTGCTACACCTGTGTGCTAGCTTTCTATGTTTCATGTATAAGTACCCCTCGTCCTTTTGTGTTGCAGCTTTCTGCAGTTTTTCTCCATTTAAATATAATATTTATATTGTACTCCTTTCTAAAATGAACAATTCCACATTTTCTCACATTATCCTCCATTTGCCAACTTTTTTCCCCATTTAACCTGTCAATATCTCTAAACTGTTTGCATCCCTCTCAACCTGCTTTCCCACCTATTTTTGTGTCGTTTGCAAATTTTGCTACAGTATATTTACTTCCTTCCTCCAAGGTCATTCATACATTGTAAACTGTTGCGGTCCCAGCACTAAACCCTGTAAAATCCCACTGATCACGGGTCATTAACCTGAAAAAGAACCACTTACCCCGACTTGCTGTATCCTGTCCAGGTCAATTCTCTACCCATGCCAATATGCTACCTCCAACATCATGGGCTCTTATTTGATGACTTACCATTTTTGAGGCATCTTGTTGAAAGCCTTCTGAAAGTCCAAATACGACACATCTGCTGGTCTCCCTCTATCCACTCTAGTTCAACCTTCCTCAAAAAAACTCTAATAAATTAGGCAGACATGATTCTCCTTTCAAGAAGCCATACTGACTCTGCTTGATTAGATTACGATTTTCCAAATGCTTTATTACTTCCTTAATGATCGATTCCAATACCTCTCCAACAATAGTTGTTAGGCTAAGTGAGTGGGCAAAGGTCTGGCAGATGGAATACAATGTAAATAAATGTGAAGTCATACATTTTGGTAGGAGTAATAGTAAAAAGGATTATTATTTGAATGGTAAAAAGTTGCAGCATGCTGCTATGCAGAGGGACCTGGGTGTCCTTGTGCATCAATCACAGAAGGTAGGTCTGCAGGTACAACAAGTAATTAGGAAGGCAAATGGAATTTTGTCCTTCATTGCTAAAGGGATTGAAATAAAAAGCAGAGAGGTTATGTTGCAGCTGTACAAGGTGCTGGTGAGGCCACACCTGGAGTACTGTGCGCAGTTTTGGTCTCCTTACTTGAGAAAGGATGTACTGGCACTGGAGGGGGATGCAAAGGAGGTTCACTAGGTTGATTCCAGAGTGGAGGGGGTTGGCTGATGAGGAGAGACTGAGTAGATTGGGATTATATTCATTGGAATTCAGAAGAATGAGGGGGGATCTTATAGAAACATATAAAATTATGAAGGGAATAGATAAGATAGAAGTAGAGAGGATGTTTCCACTGGCAGGTGAAGCTAGGACAAGAGGGCATAGCCTCAAGATCAGAGGGAGCAGATTTAGGGACTGAACTGAGAAGGAATTTCTTCACCCAGAGGGTTGTTAATCTATGGAATTCCTTGCCCAGTGAAGTAATTGACGCTACTTCAGTAAATGTTTTTAAAAAAAGGTAGATTTTTTTTGAACCATAAAGGAATTAAGGGATACGGTGAGAACGCGGGTAAGTGGATCCGAGTCCACGAAAGGATCAGCCATGATCTTATTGAATGGCGGAGCAGGCTCGAAGGGCCAGACGGCCTACTCCTGCTCCTAGTTCTTATGTTCTTATGTTCTAATCAGCCTTATAATCAACTGCTTTTTGCTGTCTTCACTTTTTGAACAGGAATGTCACATTAGCAGCTTTCTAATCCTCCAGTACTTCTCCAGAATCCAATGATTTTTTTGGAAAATTACAACTAATGC